ACCCTAAACCCTAAACCCTAAACCCTAAACCCTAAACCCTAAACCCTAGAGCCCAGGTAAGCCGGACGTGAATCTGGATGCGCCACTGACCTCCGACCTGGTCGATGTCCAGGTCTCGCCGTAGTCCGACCGAGGGTTAGGGTTTAGGGTTTAGGGTTTAGGGTTTAGGGTGTAGGGTTTAGGGTTTAGGGTTTAGGGTTTAGTTCTTAGGGCTTAGGGCTTAGGGCTTAGGGTCTAGGGAAGATATTTTGGAAGCCACACAGATGAAGTTTCGGGTTTAGGGTTTTAGGGAGTAGGGCGAAGGATCTTTAGAGCAGTTGAATCAGCTTAAATGTGCTGAGATTCCAAGGCCATGGAAGCCTTTGGAATCCTCTGGAACCCTAGGCCCTAAAGCCCCAAACCCTAAACCAAGAAGCCCGTGAACACAATGCGCCCGGGTGCAAGCCACAGCATAGGATAGTTCTCTAAATTCCCAGACGAGAGAGAATGACCCAATAGTAGTATAGGGTACTATTTGGGGCTCGTTTGATCCTCCCAGGTTCCCATTCTTATTACCGACCCCCCCCCCCGCCAAAAAAAAAAGAAAATAAAAAAAAAAATCGGGATCCCCACAGGGTCGAGAAGTGAGATCGTGTGAGCAAAGGTGAGCTTTCAGTTTAGGGTTTGGGGTTTCGGGTTTGGGGTTTAGGGTTTCGGGTTTATGGTTTAGAATTGACACTCAAATAGCTCGAAAGAGCTCCTCCTCGGCGTGCCGCGGAGGTGGCTGGCACCTGGGTGAAAATCAGTGGGGCAAGCCCATTCCTAGGCTGGCGGGCGCGTTGTCAGGGAGGGGTTTAGGGTGTTTAGGGTTTAGGGTTTAGGGTTTAGGGGGGGAGCACGGCAGAGCGTCAGCAAGATGTGCGGTTCCTGTAGTTATCGACAATTGGGGACGTATAGATTTTTTTTTCAAGTTTTTGTCTTCGTTTTACCATTTATGGGCAGTTTTTTTTTTTTTTAAATACCGTTTTACTATCTCCAATTTTTTTGGAAAATGCCCCGTGTGTCCGGTATCGTTCGGAGGGGGTTTAGGGACTTAGGGTTTAGGGTCCAGGATTTCGGGTTTAGGGTATAGGGTTTAAGGGGCTTACATTCTTGGCCACCAAGGATTGGCCCACCAACGAAGTGTAGCACCACAACATTCATAGTCGTCAAAATACAAAGTAGACGTGTGGTCATGTTATAAGCAAGAACATGATGAGTACTAGAATACAAGTACCACCTGGCATGCAGAAGCCATCCTCCTGCTTCGCGAGCAAAGACAGTGCGTCGTGCTGATGCCGCTTGTTTCATGAGTCCCGAGAAGACAGCTTGGGCAGGCTTCCAGAGCATCAACCAGGCATCTGGCCTGGCCAAGGACGTGCCGCCCGCCAGGACTTCTTGTGGGATGGGATGGGCTGTGTCTGTAACGGGCACTCCAGGTGCAGCCTTAAAGCAATGTGACGGTCTACGCCCGGAAGCATTCTCAGTGGTGTCCTGTCCAGGAAGAACCAGAATCCGATTCAGTTCGAGACGACGGGTCCCTGGGGCTTTGAAGCCCAGGCAGTTCACACAGGGCCAGACCCTAAACCCTCGAACCCCCAGCCCTAAAACCCTAATTAGAACCGCCAGAGCGCCGAGAGCCCCCAGAGCCCCCACTTCCCTGCAAGGTCAAGGCCTGGTACAACGCCATGGCTCTGGACTCTTGGCACCCCGATGTCCAGGTCCGTTTCGGGTTGAGGGGTTGAGGGGCGTAGGGGTTTAGGGGTGTAGGGGTCCAGGGTTTTAAGGGGTTTTCGGGTTTTAGGAGTTCAAGAGGTTTAGGGTTAAGGGGACTTATGGGTTCAGAGTCTTGGGTTAAGGGGTTTGGGCCGTTTATGCAGAACATACCTTTTTCCATCAACTAGCAGTATATTGTTACATGCAAAGACTCATCCTTGTGCTGGTCTGGTTGCCAGGAAAAATACACCAAAAACCAGTTTCATTCGATGTAAATTCAAGTCCCTGCACAATTCTGAAACCCTAAACCCTAAACCTGAAATCCTAAACCCTAAGCCCTAAACCCTAAACCCGAAACCCTAAACCCTAAAACCCTAAATCCTAAACCCTAAACCCCCCTTGTGGACCAGGTCGTCCTGAAGCAGACTGTGAAGGCCATCGGCAGTGGCCCTTGGGGCTCAGGACGACAGGTTTTGGGTTTCCGGTTTTCGGTTGTCGGGTTTTGGGTTTAGGGTTTCAGGTTTAGGGTTTCGGGTTTCGGGTTTAGGGTTTAAAGTTGAGGGTTTTGGGTTTCGGGCTTAGGATTTAAGCTTTAGGGTTTAGGGTTTCGGGTTTAGGGTTTAGAGTTGAGGGTTTCGGGTTTCGGGTGTAGGGCATGGCTGCCCGTTGTGGTCACGAAAGCTAGCAAAGCTTGGCTTGAGTTTTGTCTCTTTAGCAGGTAGGGTATAGGGTATAGGCCCCCAAACCCTTTTCAGCCCTAAACCCTAAACCCCAAACCCCAAACCCCAAATCCAAAGGCCCCTGAGACGCAGGAGTGTGGTGGGGCAACAGCCAGATCTTCTTCTTGGTTGCCTGGATCGGACACGCGCTCGCGCATGGCAGCTGGGGGTGGGACCGCTGGGGCTCTGAAGGGTTTAGGGCTCAGGGCTCAGGGCTCAAGGCTCAGGGCTTAGGGCTTAGGGTTCAGGGTTAGGGCTCAGGGCTTAGGGCTTAGGGTTTAGGGTTTAGGGTTTGGGGTTTGCGGCTTAGATAGTCAATGAGAGCAAGAAGGGTGGGAGTGGAGGCCGTGTTGCGGCTGCTCGGAAGCCAGTGCAGGACTTGCCCCTAGACTACTACATCTACTCCAGCTTCACGGAGAACCCATCGAACCAGTGCCTGGTCCATGCTGGCGCAGAGTGCAAGGCTTGCCTCGCTGCCTGCGACAACTCCGGCTACGCAGGCGTTGGGGGGTTTTATACGGGGAGTGCCCGCGGAGCATGGTTCTCGGTTTCGGGGTTTAGGGGTCTAGGGGTTTGGGGATTTAAGGGTTTTAGGGGTTCAGGGGTTTAGGGGTTTAGGGGTTTAGGCGTTCTAGGGGTTTATGGGTTTATGGGTTTAGGGGTTTAGAGGGTTGAGGGGTTTTAGAGAGGTTTGACCCTAAACCCTAAAACCTAAACCCTAAGCCCTAAACCCCAAACCCATAAACCCTAAACCCTAAACCCGAAACCCGAAACCCTAAACCCTAAACCCCAAACCCCAAACCCTAAACCCGAATGGGTTTAGGGGGGTTTAGGTCCATGCGACGAGGTCCTGGGAACAACCAGCGCTACTGCTGCATGGAGCCGGAGCCCTGGATCGCCTCGGCCGGGCTCTTCGACGGAAAGGCACGAGGGGGGGGCAAAATCGGGTTTAGGGTTTAGGGTTTAGGGTTTAGCCCCGGACCAAAGGGAGGAGTCTCAAAGAAGGTGGTGGGGGTGGTGAGTCGTGAGTTGTTGGTGTGTCAAAAATCAGAAGCATAATGCCCTATTCTAGCAGGAATATACTTCTACGAGCGGTAGGAAGACGAGCAACAAGCCCCCTAAGATCCCCAAGCCCTTACCCCGATGAGGATCATCGGGGTACGCTAAACCGATAAGGAATATGCAGGGGACTACAAAAGGGGCCACGATGCTCATGATGATGATGATGATGATGATGATCATCATCATCACCACAATCATCAAAATATGGTAGGACAACAATGACAATGCCAACTCCAAAAGCAACAATATAAGAAAGGCCCGCACATCCGTCCAGAAAAGGCCTGCGTGCCCACTTATCTGGGAGATGCGCTGTGCGGCGCGAAAGGCTTCGGCGCAGTGTGCCCTCTCTGCGCTTCATTGCAGAAGGGTGGAGGGCCTAGGGGGGGTTTAGGGGTTGATGGTTTCGGGTGTAGGGTTTAGGGGCCGAACCCATACTTTCGGAAGGGGAGTTCATGGGCTCAGGGGTCCTCAAGATCCCACAGCCTAAGCGCGCAACCCGAAGGCACCGATCCCTGGCTGCGTGGTGCCCAGGTACGATGCGTTCCGAGGATCCACTGTGGGGGATCTCTGGAATAGCATCAAAGCTGCGGCAGATGCCCTTCACCAAAACCCGCAGGACCGGGGTCGGGTAGTGGCTCGCGGACTTTCCGCAAAGGGTTCTAATGGGCGGTCCATTCACCTGCTTGGTTTGACATGCCTGCATGGATCGACATGAAGGAAGCTACCCTGTTTGACTTGACGTGCAGGAAGCTACCCTCTTTGACAAGATGCTTAGATGAAGCTATGCTTTCTTATGCGTAGCTACGCACTGGTGCCAGCTCCTCTGGGCTTTGCTGCAAGAAGCAGGCAAGGCTCGCGGTGAACGGCATACGTTTCACAATTAGATGTTAGTGAGCTGGTGGGAAGGAAGAGGTGAAAAGGGTATGATGTGCCCCACCCTCTTCCCCGCAAATGCCACTACTTCTTCCAACAACCACTTCTTCCAGCAATCAAGTGAAGGTAAACGCATGGTATGAATATGATTATCCTGTCTGCCAAGGCCATGGACTGTAGGCATGGTATGATTGCAACCTTAGAACAGAACCTAGAAGTATCTAAGAAGGACCCTTGCCCCGTTTCTGATAGTTTTGGGATTGTGGATGACGGTTTTCATGCAGAGCTAGGAACTAGGGAACTAGTCGCGATCACAGGAATCATTGGTTAGCGGGGTGGCTGTTGGCATTGTCACCAAAATGGGCCAGGTTTCGGGGTTTAGGGTTTAGGGTCTACGGTTCACAGTTTATGGATCGTTCTTGAGAATCGTTGATCATTTTGGCTGTTTCTATCATACGGATTCTGAGATGCTTTCAACAAAGGAGAGCAGTCAAGCTGACCCTAAACCCTGAACCCTGAACCCTGAACCCTCAACCCTCAACCCTAAACCCTAAACCCTAAACCCTAAACCCGAAACCCTAAACCCTAACCCGTCGTAGGGCCTCCGCCCAGGCTTTGACTTGGATAGCACAGAGCCCCGAGGGCCCAGCTACCAAGATCCCTGCCGGTCGGGCAGCCGAGATTCGTTTTTTTTTTTTGGGGGGGGGGGGGGGGGGGAGGAGGGGTTTATGGTTTAGGGTCTCGGGTTACAGGTTTAGGGTTTAGGGTTTAGGGTTATGTACTGATTAGGGCAGCATGATATGATACTCGGATGAGTTTGAGAAGCGGCCGCTTTCTCAGAGACGGCTGCTTGAGGCCTCTGTACAACACCTTCCCTTGGGAGGAGGAGGCTGTGAAGGGCTGCTTTGTGATGCTCGCCTCAGCTTCCTGGAGTGGGTCAGCTGCGGGAGGTGGCTGGCTTTGACAAGCCTGCGTCGTGCACGCACAAGGCCTCGTTCAGCTGGATCTGTACACAGGGAGAGATGCACCAGTGTCGCAGAGTGATGGCAAGGGTTTCGGCTCTCATGTTTCTCTCTCGCCAGAATTGGAGACACAAGTGCCTCAAGTACAAGCTGGGCACGCAGTGTGCCACACTGGAGCTAGACACAGGCACGTAACTCCGGGAACTGGAGCATCGAATTTGCTCCGGGGGGCCCCTTGAAAGACTCTGTTTAGGGTGTAGGGTTTGGGGTTACGGGTTTAGGGTTGCTGGCCTTGAGTTCAGGGACCTTCCGCCGAGAGAAGTTCAACAACGGCCAACCGGCCAACCGTACCTTGGGGGGCACCTTACACCGTCAGTGTCAGGTGATGGCGCCAACGGCCTGAACCCGGCTGTCTTGGATGCTCTGCAGGCACATGGGCATCTTCGGGGGGGGGGGGGGGGTTAATCAAAATTTTAATGCACACGTAGGGTGCAGAGGCTCAGGGTTGTGCCTTGTTTGTGGGCTGGGCTGGCCGAGCTAGCTCATGGGATCCATGACTGTATTCCCTGAACCCCCCCACACACGCCTTACAAGCCAGTCAAACACCTCCAAGCAGAAGTACCTGCTCAGGACGCCATCATGGACCTGCAGGTGGAGGGGCGGGTTGGGGCGGCTACAGCAGGCTAAGGGAAGACCAGGCTAGGGGACTTCTTCTTTGTTGAAGGGTTTAGGTACATTTGGGGGCAGGTTCCGAAGCTCAGGGTTTAGGGTTTAGGGTTCCCTGAAACCCCGTCCCTCTGATTCCCGCGTCAGTGGTGGCCAGGACAGGGGCGACGTCAGAGTCGTCGTTCTGAAGTTGGGGCCCTGGCCTGGGGTCATCGTAGGAGCCCTCAGCCCGAAGATTCGGGCCCCTAAGCCCTAAACCCTGAACCCTGGCCCGAAACCCTAAACCCTAAACCCTAAACCCTAAACCCTAAACCCTAAACCCTAAACCCTAAACCCCAAACCCTAAACCCTGAACCCTAATCCCTGAACTCTAAACCCTGAAACTTGTTCTCCGCGCTCCCTGTGACTGTGAGGTCAACGGGGAAGTTCTTCAGCCAGGGCTTTGACCCCAAGCACCTCATGGCAGAGTCCACGATGTCGGATGAGGCCCGGATGAGTCAGCAGTAGACGTAGCCATGGTAGCATGAGGGTTTAGGGTTTAGGGTTTAGGGTAGCATGACTGATGAGTTTAGGAGTTTGGGTTCAGTCGCATATACTGTCAGTGCAATCGTCAAAAGAGTCATCATGGGCAAGACAGCCGAAATGCAAAGTAAGCACAGTAAGAGTAGGAATAGTCGTAGCATTGATCACAAGGGGTAGGCGGGGGATAAAGTGGACTCAGGAGATGCGCCCTGTCAGGACATCATCGCGTTTCAGACGCAGTTTGCCCGCCTCTGAGAGACCTTTTGAAACTTGTAGGTGCTAGTCCACCACTGATGTGACGACTATTGCGGGTATTTATTGGGTAGTTGTACGATTCTGACTGTCATTACGTCTATCACTACGCTGACAGGGTTATTTTCATTGCTAGTCCTACAGCTCACTGGGAAGCTTCCGCGAGGCGAAAATCCTCTACTTCTTGCAGAG